ATTACTGGTGTCATTTCCCTCTAAAATATTTTTGCATACACCCACTGTCTGGTCACAATCACAATCATAATCACTCAAGTTCTCACTTTCACTATCTTCTTTTTCTCTTCCTTCTTTTCCATCTTTCAGTTGAGATTCCTTGACTTCTGGACTTACCCTGTACTTGGCAAGGTTCATTCAAATTATATATCCAACCCTGGGCAATGTCTCCCTTGTCCTTAGTTGAGAGCAGTGGCGGCTCATAGCTAAAATTTGTGGGGGTGCTGCTCCAGAAAATTTGTAGCCTTTGTTTTAAAATTGTATAAAAGGAAACAAACATGTATAAAAAGAAAATTTATTCAGAAACTTGATAAAATCCTAAAAGAACAAAATCAAACATTTTTTACTTACTTTAACCTAAATTGTTACAGTTCAAGCTTAATCTATTCATTTAAAAATGAAATCCATTCTTTTTAACCTTTATATTATGCTCATTGATTGAAAGTCTGTATGCCTCACTAAGTTTCTCCTTAATACTTACGTTTCCTAAAAGTGACAGTGAAACTACATTATCAACGTGCTTCTTTGACTTCTCATGCTTTTCAGTTTTTTTCATTTTGTTTATATTTCTAAAATCATCTTTTTTCCACATTACATCACCCCCAAACAGCAAACACGGGAAGCAAAACAGTGCATTTTTTACTTCACAGCCGCAAAGCCAACTTTTCCGTTTGTACCATTCAGAATTAAAGCTACGACTATATTTCTTGTTCTTGCTTATGCCTGGCTGAGATATTAGAATATCAGGTGTTAAACGACCTCTTTTCTTAACTGCAACTTTCTCATGGAGAGACAGTTGTGAAAACTTAAGCTGTTGAAGTTCACTTACAGTCACAGAACTTATTTCTCGGGGATGCAAGGCCATGGTTAAAGTTTTCTGTTAAATAAAAGAACCGGAAAAAAAAAATGAATCAAATAGAATAGCTGGAAGCAGGATAATAATCTAATTCTACAATTAACTCATATTTTTTAAGCACAACACACACGGAGTAAAAAAAAATACCTTCCACCAGCACGCCAGGGTCAGCACCGGTCGGCACTGTCGTTCCTGCAGTGCTCCCTCTCCCTTGCAGCCTCGCATGTAGCTTCCTATGTGCGCATGCGCACAGTCAACGAATACCTCGCCACTGGAACTGTGAAACTCACAGTTCCATACAAAGATTTGGCTACTGACATTAAGCTTAAGGATTATATATTGTATTGTACAAGTATAAAGAAGGAATTAAAGAAAAAAGGACTCATTATATAAATGTTATTGATAATATCAAGGGAAAATTGGGGGTGCTGCAGTTCCGCAGTGCCTATACACGGGCCGCCCCTGGTTGAGAGTTCCCATATCTGGTTTAATATCATCTCTTTCACTCTATTTTTCCCAATTACATTGAGGTGAAGCCCATGCCTGGTATAACATGATCTATCCAATTCAATTTCCAGTATTTTCACATTACTCTCTAACTTCATTAAGTGACTAAGTCCATTCATTGTTTCATTTTTTGCAACATCATTTGAGCCTCCCAGTAGTATAACCATATCATTAACATTATACATTCTTCCTTTTTATTCACAGTATATATTTTGAGTATCGGTCTTCGTAGTTAAAAACATGGACAAGTATGTAGCAAATTCAGATATTCATAACATTTATATGAGACAAAGATACGAACTACATTATCCAACTTATAAATCAACCAGGGCTCAAAAGGGAGTATCTTACACTGGAATTAGAATATTTAACAAATTACCACATAGTATACAAATTTTTTCGCAAGATTTAAATAAATTCAAATATTCCCTTAAAAATTTTTTCAGGTGAGCTCCTTTTATTCTCTAGATGAGCATTATGCATGGGAAACAAGAGATGATTGTGTTAATTACAGATAAGTGAAACAACACTAGTCATTTTAAAACTTCTATTGTAGGATACCTATACTTCTTTAGTTATGATTTTACTCTGTTACAGACAATGTTAATATGTATTTTATTATGATAATAAGTTGCAGTGCAAGTGTTACATGCATGTTGTATTTAATTATTTAATTGCAGGTGGGCTCTTTTTATTCTTTAGGTGAGTATTATGAATGGAAAAATAGAGATGATTGTGCTAATTACAGATAAATAAAACTACACTAATCATTTTTAAACTTTTATTGTAAGATGCCCATAACTCTTTGGATATGATTTTGCTCTGTTATTAACAATGTTGATATGTATTTTGTTATGATAATAAGTTGCAGTGCGAATGTTATATGCCTGCTGTGTTTAGTTATAGCATTGTATCAACAGTTATTGCAACAGTGGTTGTGGATATGTTGTAATATCTTAAATGATGTCCTCTGGATTAATTTTATTGTAACTAGGGCTTTGACGTGTTCTATATCTGGTGGCGCCATCGCCAAATGTAGATATGATGAACAAAATAAATTGAATTGAATTGAATCGAATCATCTCTAGTTAGGGAGTTAACTTCCTGTTCGCACAGTTGCACAATATTCTGTAACCTTGGTCCTGGCATTACTTTGCCCATAACCTCAAATTTCTTGTCCACTTGGTTTGATAATTCAGATGAATATCCTTTTCTGTTACTGTCCCCCATTAGTATGATTTTATTTTTCCTTACTTCCTTTATATTTCTAGCTATGTTTTTTATTTATTCCTTCTAACTGCTTCTGTTGATCACAGTAGCTGGTTATTTTGCCTAGTGCTGCAAAATGGTTTACAATTGTAGGTATTTGTTGTGGTTTACCACCATCATTCCTAGTGTTATTTTTCCATTTCTTGTTGTCTTTTACTTTCTGCCATTTATTAGTTTTTTTTTCCCTGTTCATATTATGCTGATCAGCATTCGTCAGATCTCGAGTCATACTTATGTTAGCACTCACTGTATCAGAGCAATATCTTTCTTTAATAATTTTATTATCTCATTAGCCAAGCAAAGTTCATGATGAAGTCTTACTACTTCTCTTCCGAGATTCAAGCACTATATACAATTCTTATTTGTATTCAACTTGCCCATTCAAACACTGATTTCAAGTGACCGGTCATACACTGCTACACAATTCTCCAACATATTGCACTGCTGGTGTTATGTGTTCTGTGTTGATGTCATTAATGTTGTAGGTTTGAACGTGTCAGATACTGAGGTTAAGTTTAATTTCCAAAAACTCTTGGCGATACAGAAGAAATCCCTATGTAAGAGATTTGGTACAAGACAGGAAACTTTTTCTAGGAAAACTAAAAGAAATATTAATCATACTTCGTTTTATTCAGTTGATGAATTTTTGCTTTATTGTAAGGATCTGTAGTCAGAAATATGTTTATTTAGGTATATTTCATTATATTACTGTGACAATTATAGTTCTTCATTGCATGCATATGTATATATGAGTAGGAAGGAGAATTATTATGTATTGCTATTTATCTTGTTGGTGTAATTGTATGTGTCACATTGAATCTATTTAATTGAGGTATTCAGTTTAGATTTTAACTATGGTCAAATTGATGTCTCTGCAATTTTATCTGTGATTGTCTTGCGAATGTTGTTTGACAAGTTTTATATTCAGTGCCAGTTGCACACATATGAATACTTTGCCACACTGATATACCTGTATGTATGTATGTATGTATATGTGACTGTGGGCTGGACAGCCTTACAAGAAAACCATGCAGATCTACTTAAAAAATGCCAACTATACACACATTACTCATACACGACTGACCAAATTTTATAAGTTTGCCAAGTGACAAGAACATAACATGCATAATATTAATTCATAGGACAATGTCCTAAACTCTGACATGCATTAAGCTCAACCTGGAGTGGGGTCTACCCAATTTTCTCACACACACCCAACAGCTACTGTAAATGAAAATGGCAAATATGAGTACTAGAGACTCATATAACTTTATTCTCTGAATACTGTATCTTACTGTCTATTTATTTACTTAGTGCTGAGGAGAATATATGAAGCTAAGAGGAAAATATAATAAGAAGATGAAGAAAATTATGACATTCAGAGCATCAAACTTTGCACCCTTCACCAAGGACAATGTGAAGTTGGTAAAACTGTCCTTGTTCTTAACTAGTTAAGCACTATGCCATGGAGATGGATGGGGGTGTAAATGTATAGATCCATGTATTCTTGAGCTCAGCACTAGCTGTAGGTAGTGAGCTTCACTACTGTTTTACCCACAGAAGGAGCCCCAGTACCCGTTGCCTAGAAGGCTGGGTGGGCCCCAGTACTGGTCTGGATGATGTGGAGATGAGAAAAATTCTCACCCTATCAGAACTCAAATTCTGATCCACAGCTAACTGCTTTACTGACTGCACTATCCAGGCTCTTCACCAAGAACAAGGCTCTTTAAAACGAGACAATTACAATTAGCAATGCTTAATGAACTACAACAGTTACAAAGTAAAGTAATTCAAAACATCTTCAGTTTCCCATATGGCAATTAATTTTCAGGTTAAATCAGTGGTGTTACACTTAGTGCAGTGGCATTAGTAAACAAAAAGCTGAATGATGTTTTGGTTTACAAATCAGAGTCTGTGACTACAACTCAGTACCAATTACAAACATTCAAGGAGGGCTACCATACAAGAAATCAATCAGATTTTGTTAGTTCACTTACCCTGTATGGTATATCATTACACAGGGGATTGCATTTACCTAGGGACCACATGAAATATCTGAATTCAATGACAGGTGTAGGGGTTGAGACATGAAATAATTAGGTATTAAGTTATATTATCCCTTACAGAAAATCTTCTGTAGATCTACAACTATGAGTGGAACGTTGTAATAACGACACCAGGAGTTGATCCAACTGCTATAGTCCACTCTTTCGAAATATCGCCGTTACCTGTTCATTTCATGAATCACAATATTTGTCCTAAGCCCACTCAACCAGTAACTCTCTCCAAGTCCAAAAACATAAGCATACCTTATCATGGACCAACTTACTTTTGTAGTCTATGAAATATTATCTCCAAACTTCGTTCATCTGTCTTCTTAAGAACGTGTGGAGCTGGGCTAGGTTTGGTGGTTAAGTAATTTCTCCTCAGAGGATTCCTATAATTACATATATTTATTTTATTTCAAAGTATGCTGCAATTATATGAGAAATAATTTCAGTACCCCATAGCAAAAACATACGTTACCAAGTCATGTTTACCAACACTATTCAATTCAATTCAATTTATTTTGTTCATCAGATCTACATTTGGCGATGGCGCCACCAGATATAGAACACGTCAAAGGCCTAGTTACAATAAAATTAATCCAGAGGACAACGTCATTAAGATATTACTATTACTACTGCTACTACTGAACAACGGCCGATTACCGCTACTGACGCTACTGACAGCTATAAGCCTGCCGATACTTTCTGTTCTGGCCCGTTGTCAGCGCGTGAGAGCGAGTCTATGCTACGAACTTGCTTCGTCTGCAGAGAGAACATGCGTAGGCTGGCACTGGCAACTGGAACGTGGGAAAAAGCACATAGTATCTACTAATAACAGCGATCCTACGCGCTCAACGTCTACCTTCTTACTGAGGCAACTAAGTGTCACTGCGCAAGCCCACCAATCTTAGGCTCTCCGACATGCGTCAGACCACTACGCATCATAGATCCACCGGCCAAAATCCGCCGTCCAAACCTGTCCCAACTGTACCACCATTTATGAGACACTCCTAGCGTCTGTGCTTCTAACTTCGAACCTTCGAACCGCTACGACCAGCGGATAATTACCTGCAATTACCTCAAACGAGCACGGATCACTCAGTGTGTTTATCACGCAGATTCCTCACAATCATTCCAAACGAGCACGGATCACCCAGTGTTTATCACAGTGATTCCTCACAAGCATTTCTCCTCGATCGAATGTTGTCATCATTGAGTCATGTACCAATATTGGCAAATTTGGATCCCATAAATCGAATTATATGGAAGTTCAAACCGCACAACTAGCAATAAAACCACATTTTCTATCGTTTTCAACCGCGAAGCATACTCGAAAGTCGTCAATGAAAGAGGTTATATCAACAGAAAGTTCATGTGAAACCGTTAGTGAACAAACTTCAATCGAACCAAAGTGGACCGATGTAATAACTGGAAAGCATAAGAGAATTGCAAATGATAGACGGGAAAACATTTATAGAATACCCGTCATAAACAATCGCTACAAATCTCAATTTCAATTTATTTTTGTTCATCAGATCTACATTTGGCGATAGCGTTTCCAGATCTCCAGATACATGTATGTATTTATTTCGTCTCTATAGATCATTGTTACATGATATAGGACAAGTCAGTTACTGTACATTGGCTGATTACAATAAGAGAATAAAGTTACAATACTTAAAATTGTTTACAATAGATTACAATAGTTAAAGATTTCACATAGTGTGAGGTGGAATCCATATTGGCTCCCCTCAGCAAGTCGGCTTCCATATGTCCTATTGTGCCTGTACTGGTGATAATATTTATGGAGAATTTGATGGAATGAGGATTGGCAGGGGAAACCGAAGTACTCTAGGAAAACCTGCCCCAGCGCCATTTTGTCCATCACAAATCCCACTTGACTAGACCGCAGCGGTGGGAAGCCAGCGACTAACCGCTTAAGCTATGGCGCGGCCTTTGAGATAATACTGGTGAATTTGGTGATACCACTGGTATAACGTTTCACTGTAGACTCTACACTGCAACATCTCATTACATCTGTTCTCCCTTCTTGGTGCAGATTCTTGGCATCTGCAATCTCACCAGAATAGCCCATTCAGGTATATCTCCGACTGTGTTATCTTGGTTGCCGGAAGAAAGAAAGGAAAACTGCGCAGTAGGGATTCCCAAAACCGATTATTCATGAATTATGTGGTTATAATTGATTAGTGTGTCTGACATGAGAGAAACTCATCCACTTTATAAAAACAATGATCGAGTAGCTACGTTTTCAAAGCGCTTTTGATATAGTACCGGTATTTCTTTAATATATTGTGGCAGATGATTTAGCAGTCGAAGTCCTACATTGTTGAAGTTGTTCTTGCATAGACTTGTATTACATGGGACGATGTGCAAGTCATCTTTCTTTCCTTCTGTTGTATGAGTGTAATCCTG